GCCGCCTGGCTGCTGCGGCGGGCGCCCCAGCTGGCACCGGACGAGGTGCAGCTGTTGGCTGAGCACCTGGTGCGGATGGAGTCGGGCCGGCCGCCGGCCGAGCCAGATCTCCTGCCGCTGCTGCTGCTCTGGTCCGGCGCAGAGGTGGAGACCTGTCTCCAGGACGGACAACCCGACTCGCCGGTCACACTCGAACTGCTGCAGCGGGCGGGAGCAGAGACGGTGCCCCTCACACTACCCGACAGCCGGCAGGCGAGCGTGGAACCGACAGGAGAGGATCGGCTGGCTCCACCGGCGGCTGAGGCACAGCCGGGGCTGGAGCCGGAGCCAAGCTCTGAACTGGAGCCGGCGCTCAGCTCTGAGCTAGCGCTGAGCTCTGAGCCGGACCGAGCGCCGAGCTCGGAGCTAGAACTGGAGCCGGAGCCAGAGGCGGCGCCTAGTTCGGAGCCGGAGCCGGGGCCGGAGAGTGAGCGGGACGCGGACAGTGACGGCCGACTACTGGAGATGTACCTGGCGGAGGGCGAGCCGGCCGAGCCCGCCGCCGAGCAGGCGCTGCTGCTGTCGGCGGCGCGGCAGGGCGACGCCGGCCTGGTGGCTCTGCTCCTCCGCCGCCGCGTGCCCGCCGACTGCGCGGACGCCGCCGGCCAGTCGCCGCTCACACTCGCCGCTAGGCACGGACACGCGGACGTGGTGGCGGCCCTGCTCTCGGCCGGCGCGGCGCCGGACCGGCCGGACGCCGACGGCTGGACTCCGCTGCGGTCGGCCGCCTGGGCCGGTCACACGGCCACGGTGCAGCTACTGCTCAGTGCCGGCGCTACCGTGGACAGTGTTGACGGAGAACAGAGAACAGCTCTGCGCGCGGCCGCCTGGGCCGGACACGACGATATCGTATCAGCTCTTCTCTCGGCTGGCGCAGATGTGAACGGCACTGATCGCGAGGGACGTACGGCGCTGATCGCCGCCGCATACATGGGTCATGTGGAGATCGTTCGCCGTCTGCTAGACGCCGGGGCGGACATTGATCACGCGGATGGGGACGGGCGCACGGCGCTGGCCGTGGCCGCGCTCTGTGTGCCTGCCTGTGAGGGCGCCGGCCGGGTGGTGGCGCTGCTACTAGAAAGGAACGCCAATGTGAATCATGAGGACCGTGAGGGGATGACTCCGCTGCTGGTCGCCGCCTTTGAGGGGCACAGGTGAGAAAAGTGGTGGACAGAGGAAGGGTGGGGCTAGGAGTGGTCTTGAGTTTCCGGGAACTGCGGTTGGCAACTGTGAAATCCCAGGACTGGGATAGCTAAAACGTTTGTGATTTCTCCTATGTGGTTATTGTCACAGAAGCCAGCTCAGCTCCATGACAGTTACGTCCCGTTTCAGTGGTTTCTAAAGCTGTCAATGACATGCACCTGTCGCTTCAGCGATGTGTGGCCCTCCATCTGCTCCCTAATGCGGCCTCAGACCCTCCCACCTGTCCCCCAGACTGCGTGCTATCCTTATTCCTCTCACAGGGACGTGTGTAGCCGTTCTCCGTCCTTTCTGGTTGTATAACTCCCTCGCCCACTCGTAGGGACGTATATGAGCTACTGTTAGAGGCGGACGCGAACCACTCTGACAGAATCTGACCTTTTTCTCTCCCTCTTTCCTTCAGGGACGTCTGTGAGCTGCTGTTAGAGGCGGACGCAGACGTGGACCAGTCGGACGGAATCTGACCCTCCCCCTCCCTCTCTCCTCTCAGGGACGTATGTGAACTGCTTCTGGAGGCGGACGCGGACGTGGATCACTCGGACGGCGCCGGCCGGTGCGCGCTCTTCGCCGCCGCCTCGATGGGCCACCACACAGTGGTCCAGCTGCTGCTGTTTTGGGGCTGCTACTGCGACACAATCGACCCAGAGGGACGCACAGTGCTCAGTGTGGCCGCCGCCCAGGGCTGTATTCAGACTGTCCGCCTGCTGCTTGACCGAGGCCTGGACGAGGGCCACCGCGATAACGGCGGGTGGACACCGCTTCACTACGCCGCCTACGAGGGACACGCAGATGTGATTGACGCTCTTCTAGACGCCGGCGCACGAGTCAATGAGGTGGATAATGACGGAAAGCACGCGCTGATCCTGGCGGCCCAGGAGGGTCACGTATCGGCAGTGGCGGCGTTGGTGGAGCGCGGTGCCGATGTCAATCTGCGCTCACATGATGGCAAGACCCCGCTGAGAATGGCAGCGCTGGAGAGGCATAAGGACGTGGTGCATTACCTGGTGTGTAACGGCGCAGACGCCAGCTACCGTGACATGGACGGCCGGAGTACGCTCTACCTGCTGGCTCTGGATAACCGGACCGCGATGGCAGCGTTCCTCCTGGACAGCGGAGCGGATGTCGAGAGCTGTGACCTGGAGGGACGCACCGCGCTGCACGTCAGTGCCTGGCAGGGGCATACGGAGACTGTGCGTCTATTACTGCAGCGCGGGGCAGACCCAGACGCCATTGACGCCGAGCGTCGCACGCCTCTGATCGGCGCCGCCTGGCAGGGCCGCCCGGCGGTGGTGCGCGCGCTCCTGGCGCATGGCGCTACTGTGGACCACACCTGCAGTCAAGGAGCCACCGCGCTCTGCATCGCCGCTCAGGAGGGACACCTCGAGTGTGTGCGCGTGCTGCTGGACCATTTTGCTGACCCGAATCACTCTGACATGCACGGTCGGAGCGCGCTCAAAGTGGCGCTCAAGGGCCGCCACGAGGCGGTGGTGCGTCTACTGGAGGAGTATGGGGCCAGCAGCGCCGCACCGCCGCCTCAGCCGCCGCCACTGCCGGTCCATCAGCCGCCCTGCCACGCGAGCGCCAGTAACGCGTCCATGAACTCTGTCTCGACCGCCGAGACGAAGCCGAGCAGTGCGGCGCTGGGTGGCGCCTCCCCGGTTGATTCTCCCTCCTCGACCTTTGAAAAGCGCCAGTCGTGCGCCTCATTCGGCAATCACTCGCACTCCAAGTCTAGCAGTAATCTGACCGACTCGACCGGCAAATCGTCGCAGACGTCTCAACCGGCCGCTGACGCTTCACCCACTCCGGCGGCAGTCTCTGGCGGGCTGTCCTTCACCCAGCAGCTGCAGCGGTGTCGGCGGCGCGGCGGCCGGCCCGTGGAGACCACCACCGTCGCCGAGTCGCCGCCGTGCAGCCCAGCGGAGCGGCGCTCCACGCCCGTCAGTCCGCAGGCGCACCTGCCGCTCATCTACGCTGACCCGCACGACTCGCGCGCGCCATCTGCCGCCGTTCGACCACGCACCTCGGCACCATTCACCTTCGACCAGAACGAGCACATGCGTATCATTCTGGGTACCAAAAGCGGCAGCAGCTCTGTATCGTCAGAGTCGCGGCCGCGCCGCGGGCTGGCCGCCCAGGCCAACTCCGGTCTCAAGGCGGGTGCGGCGGCGCTGCGCGCGCGAGCGGCTCCCTCCAAACAGAGGACGTCTGCGCTGGCTTCGGATGGCTCCTCGAATGGGTTCCACCTGCGCCGAGAGACGCCACTATAGCAGCGCCGGTGAGTGACTGGACGGATGAATGAATTAGCGAATGTTGAATGCAATGATGGAATGCTATAAATCAATGCAATTAGTAGATACAATGAGTGAATAAATGCAATGAATGAATGAGGAGGTCAGGAAGTGAGACTAAGGATAGGTTGGTTTTGACAATGACTCAAATGTCAATTTCCATTGTCTTGAACATATTTTGATTTTTTATTGTAGGATTCGTAATAAGTTTCGATAATGTTTCCAATAAATTCGAGGGATAAAGTTCCAAGCATCTTAATTTTGGTCGGTCAAGGAAATTGTCAGTGGTGTCTCCGTGTCTTTTAGATGATTTTAACACTATAGTCTCTATCTGGCTTATGCATGCGTGTATGCCCCCCCCCCCCCCCGCTCGACTTGTCCTCAAGTATCCTAGGCCTTTTGCTATTTAAGTTGCGGTGTCTACTATCTAGGGAGACATAATAACTCTTTTTTCTTAACTACTAATAACTTGTGCCACTTTTTGACCCTTAAAGTCTCAGGCTGTGTTCAACTTAGAACAGTGGTAATTTTATCAGAATTAGTTGATGCATCAGATTAGCCATTTATCGGTCATTGATCAGAGTGGTCTGTTGACTCTCAGGAACCTCGTGAATTTCATTCCTCGGACTTCGGAGTTCATTTAAATTGCGTAAAAGCTCCCATTCCAGATTCGATGTCAGTTCAGTGCACTGACCCGGCCGATGTTAGGCTCAGGAAGGTCTCTGCAGTCTGCAGTCCGCAGTCCGCTGACGTTCTGCCCCGCCGTGTGTGTTGCAGGGCTCGGGCTGACCCTCCCGCCGCCTGTGGTGGCGCCCGTCCCGACCCTCCGGCCGGCGGTGGCCGCCCCGTGCCCTCCACCGCCGCCCCTGAGCGGCCGAGCCGGCCCCGTCGTCCGGACCGCCTCCCGAAACGGTCTCTGTGTTTCTAGTCTGCATCTCTGGCGCCGGGCGCCACTGTTTCGTTTGCATAATTTATTTAGTGTGGGCCCCAATGCGGGGCCCGGTGGTGTCCCTGTGCCCCGGTGACCGGCCAGCGCGGGTCACCGGGTGACTCACGGGCCGTTGGCCCCTGGCCGGTCCTTTCCGGCACAGGCCGAGCGGCGTCTCTCAGCGTCCTCTAGCAATACTGGTGTGTCTGTGTATAGCTGTATCGTGCCCTAACCTGCACTGCCTTTACCACAGCCGAGCCAGGCGCCGGATCGGCGGCACGCTTCAACCGCTACTGCTTGTCGCACATACCGTGTAGGCTGGTGCATTGTGTGGTAGTCGCTCAGAGTAGGAATCATGTGGCGGACGAACGATCTATAGGCGGTGATCCTCCAAATAGGGACACTTTTGGGATGGGATCATCCCTGCCTGCACTTTCCCCATGCATACAGATATAGTGTTGTATGCTTTTTGTGTGACAGTGACCTGAGGTCTTCAGTGTTGATTACATGTGTCTCTTCATTCTGCTTACAGTGGATAGGTTTAGATGCTTGTTTATTGATATTCACTGACGCTTACTTAGTATATTCACCGGCAACGGGTAAAACACTGAATCAAATAAACCATACACCGCTGTGTCTTCTGCTATTTTGATTTGGGTTACTGGCAAGAAGCGTCTTATGTCAATAGCAAACGTGACCGTTAATTGTGGGTCGGTACACGTCAGAATAAATAACGACCTTCTCCACTCGTACCTTACACCGATAATGCGTTGACTGGAGCGACCTGCCAAGCTCCTACAGGGCTTTTGAGCAGCACCACGTACTGAGCCACATAACTCGCGCTTACACACTCATAGCTATGAAATAAATAAGATGCAATATGAGTTCAAAATAAATACAACGCACCGCTCAAGGTAAAATTGCCTCAAACGAAAACCACGCAAACGCACGGTACCTGCCCGTCGCCTTTGTTCACTCCGTACTTGACTTCACTGATGGCGATTCAGTTCCAGCGAGAAGAGGGCGTGGCAGTCGTCTCACGCTTCCCCAAGACGTCCCCCTGCTGCGGCGGCGGACGACGGCTGCTCTGCAATTGGCAGCCACTTACCCTGGTCGTACTGAACGGATGGTGCTGGGCCTGGCGCGTTTCCGGACTCAACCGTCTGCACACCACGGCCAAATCTCCGTCCGACCGCAGCACCGACTGGGGTTCGAGCGACCTCCCGAGAGCCGCGCCTGAGCCATCTTCGGAACGTCTTACCTACTGAGGACCGAGCTGCTGCCTGCAGCTGGGCGGCCCTGGTTCGGACGAGGGCCCAGTAGCCGCCGGGACCGCTGGATCCCGTGCCGTACCCGCTGGATCCCGTGCCGTATCCGCTGAATCCTGTGTCGTATCCGCTGGAACCGTATGCTCCGGTGTCGTACCCGATGGGGCCGCTGGCTCCAGTGTCGTACTCGCCGTACCCTCCAAAGTCGTACTGCTCACCGGCGTTGTAGCCTCCGAGTCCGCTGGGCGCCGTGGGGTTGGTCTGGAGTTTCGTGGCCACGTTGTTCCACATCGAGATGAGCTGACCGGCGCCGATGAGGGTCATGACCAGATTGGCAGCGTTGGGAGGCACCAGCGCTATCGCCGCGGCCACAGCGTCCATCGTCGCGCTTGTGTAGCTCTGCGAAACTCGCTTCTCTCCTAAATCCGTCTGTCAGGTAGCAACTCACAGTCTGCCAGCGAAGTGTCCGTCCGTTAACGTGTCGACTGCCGTCCGTCAAACTTGGGAGAACCGTCCTCTGAGTATAAAAGAACCGTCTTGCGTCAGTCCTTCCCTTGCGCTCTGTCCGTTACCGCACAGTACCTACTCTTCTTGCCTTTGTCACCCAAAGAACCGCACTGTGTAGGTCCGTACGCCGTCGGTCAGTCCGTTCGGCTCAAGAGAGCTGTCGCCCGTCCGTTTGCCCGTCTTCCAACACCGACACTGCAGCAATGCGTCGAGCAGCAGTGGCTGCTCAGTCAACGTGCCAGATCGGGCACCGGTATGTCACCTCATGCCGTACCTATCTGCAAAACCAGGTCATGAGGCGGCACATAGTGACCGGTGTCAGGTGTGCTTACAGGGCTACTGCAAGCCATCTGCATAAATTACCGCAATAGCGGCATCTTACACGGGTACCGATGGTTGTCGAATGTCGGTCTGGATATGGTCATTGAAAGTGTCAGCCGTGGAGTCTGCAGCGCCGCTGAGCGGTGAGCGGATCCGGGGGACATACATTTACCGTCGTGCATGTCTGCACTTGGTCTGCACCCCTAGTGGCTACTTCGGCTTTCGTCACTCCCTCCCATCAAAAGCAAGATTACTTTACCAAAAAAAAGATCCTAAAAATGCTGCAAAACTGCTGTAGAGGTATACTAGTAGGGGAGAACGGGGTTAATTGTAACATTTTTTGCATTTTATCATCTGGTGCAAACACGTTTGCAGTTATAAAACTCTTTCTTTTATTTTCAGAAACTATGAGGTTTTGTCTTTAAAATGCTGTTAAAACATTTCCGAAATAACTTATTTTTTGGGTCAAAATTGTTGTCCGAAAAAGTCAATTCATCTGTTACAATTCACCCCAGATACGGGGTCAAAAGTAACACCACCCGGGGACAATTGTAACATGCTAATTTACAGGCTACAGCAACACAATTTTTCCCAAAACTTTGATTTAACAAAAGTATTGAACACTTGTTCATCTTCCCAGACTTGGTGGAGACGGTTCTTCTCAGGAAAAAAGGCTTAAAACCTCGCACTTATACAGGGGTTGGATGGACCTCCTCTCCCTCGGTTTTTCGCAAAAAAATCGCGTAAAAAGCTGCCGATTGCGACAAAACTTACAGCTCTCTTAATTCTAGCAATGTTTCATCTCCCTTGAAAATTTGACGACTTTGACATAATGGCGACTGATCTATAACCTGTTACATTTGACCCCTGCAAAAATGTTACAATCAAGATACCTATAAGAAACGTTGCTACTGTTTTCCACTCACAAACGCTGCCCTCCGTGGACAGCAGCAGCAGCAGTGAAACGTCACCCGTGGTGTGACATCATCACCCATGACGTAATGGAAATCCAGTTGTTACCAAGGCCCCGCATTTTCGGTCTTAACATTAGCGCATTCTATTGGTAAGTTTATGAATTATTAACACTGTTACAATTCGCCTCGTGACTCAGAAGTGGCTGACATCTGGTGGCCGTTTCCTGAACTACTATAGGTAGGATCTGGCGGCCGCTCCGCAGGCAGACCGGCCGGTCTAATCTCTCGAGACCTCGGATTTCGAATACTTTTTCTTTCAAAATTGGAATGCAATGCACATAATTCGACGACAAATTCCTCATAGATCACGAATAATGATTCTCATAGCCCATCATACATTCTTTCACAGTCAAAAGGGCCCTGAACAAAGCGTCCCGTGGCACTTCGTAAGCAGTATTGGTGATCACAACCAATCAGTGCTGCCAGATGGGGAAGGCTGTAATCCTCCAGATCAGTTACAAAAATCCTCCAGATTCCTCCAAATCCTATTGGTAGATATAGAAAGGCGGTCTTGGACGCTGCGGGGGGCTATACCCCCAAAAAAAGTTTCCCCAAATTCTAAAAACTCATCGGATTTCGAATCCTTTCGCACTGCTGTGCAGTTTAAAAGATACTTTTTCTAATAAAAGTTAAGTTTTCGTTCTATCCTAAAAAAACGAAAATTTTCGTCGATTTCGGGGGCTACAGGGGGGCCGGGGGCATTTGCCCCAAATGTTCCCCTTAGATCCGCCAGTAGTTTGGTACCCTCGTAGATATAGCTACAGACTGAGACATTCTGCAGTCTCACGGTGATAAAGGACATGATATATCCTAACGGGTAGGGTAACGCTGGGCAGGAAAATGCCTTTTTAGTCTCGAATGTTTTATATGTTTCCATGAAATTAAATATAATAATTGGGCGACAAATCCTCCAGATTTCCCTCCAGAATAAAAAATCCTCCAAAAACGAAATTTGTCCGCAAATAGAGTTCAAAATCCTCCAGATTTGCGGAAATCCTCCAAATCTGGCAGCACTGCAACCAATGCTAGGGCGGTAAGGGCGGCCGATAAGGATATTGCAATCCGCCGAAAGAGCAAGGTTCCGGGCACCGACCCCCACCGGACACGATTTGGTAGCCGAGGTCTGTGACGTCAGCCGGGCGTGAAGTTTTCCCTTCACCATAGGCTTCACACACAAACCGGCCGAAGTTCATGCCAGGATAGCCCGGCTTGAAAGTGCAAAAATGATTAAATTTTGCCCTCAATAGATTCATTGCTTCATTTTATAACTAAAAACGTCCGTTATTAGGACTCAATGAAGGTAAAAAGTACTCAAAATCGAAGTTCAAGAAGATGCTGTCCGAGCACAATCTGGTAACATCACGTGACCTCTTTTAAGCAGAATGTATATAATTCAAGGATGTTATTACACGATTGCTGCCTAAAACATCATAAATAATACGTTTGTAACATTTATTGCTTCTGTTTAAGTCATAACATTGCAAAACGCAAAGTTTATCATGGAAGTCACGTGACCAAAGGTATAGCAGGGGTTGGGACAAGCACTCAAAGGATTTCAAGTTATTTAATTAAATTATATAAGTTTCATGATGAAATTGAAAGAATGTATTTTTTCCTAATGAAATACAAATTTCCGTATGTAAAATATTTTCCTTATGGGCGAAATTCTCCATATAAGAAATGTCAGTGACGTCACCAGGGCTTTACTGGGCTTTACTCAAAACATCGGACCTACCTGTTTCTTATAGGTATCTTGCCGGGCACATTGTCTGAACCAAGGCTATATAAACCAGGTAGAACGCTCCGGGAAAAAAGTTGGAAACAATAAATTAGTTGCGGCATTCCCTGATGACGCGAATGTGGGTCAGCGGCCGGCGGCCGGCCGCCGCTAACACTGTATGAGGAGGGATGCGCGGAACTTTTGCTTGTTGGTGATTGCGCTAGGCAGTTAAATGGTAATGTTAGGATATGTTTCGAAAGTAAATTGAACGACGCTTCGAACGCCGTCAATGAATTTGCGATACGACGACTATTTGTTTAGTTAGAGCCGGCGAACTTTTACCTTCCGGCCGCGCGCGGAGGCGATATGGTGCCACACTGGCGGTTTTTACCATAGCTCAAAATTCTTTTGAGATAAAGAGATGAAATTTGACATGTCCTATCTTTTGATCAAGCTGGATCTTATGGTACAAGTCGCATATTTAAGGTAGGTCAGGTTGTTGACCTATGTTGTCGCTCGTGAGCCTCTGCGCAGTCCTAAAACAACGCAATTTCTGAACACTCAGTGCCAAGAAATCCTTCACAGAAAGATGACACTTGGCAGAAAGAAGAGTTGTCGGTTTCTTAACGTTCGTATGTGTCGTGTTTTCACAAGAGTTTAGTAAGGTCAGGTCCGTCACGTGACCTCCCCTCATAACTCAATAGGTTTACTATCATAGAAGCGTTTATCAATCGCCGGAAATCTTAGCCAATCCCACTGGACACTGGATCCATACCCACATGGGGCCCTTTTGACTGGCCACTCCCTCTGAAATCCACAATAACATTGGGCTGCGGCCACGGTTATGTATTAATGCTTTTCATTAACAGAAATACAACTTCAACCAGCACAGTGCACGCCGCCACAACAGTCCGACCCACGTCCCTGATATCGACTAGCTCCCGGCCGGATGCACATACGCGGAGCCAATCAGTCCGAATGTGACCTGCAGCTTACAATTGCTGTGTCGCATGGCGCATGGCACAGGACGATTCCTAGCAGCTGTCGGCTGGAGTGGAGAAACAGCACGTTGCGACACACCGCGCCGGCGACAGAGCTCAGCAGGGCTGGTTGGAGGCTGGAGCCGGAGGTAAGGGCGGACACAGGCACAGACATTGCAGGACACAGGGCTGCGGAGTCGGAGTCGGAGTCGGTCGGAGTCGACAGTTGTGACCGGAGTCGGAGTCGATTTTAGAAACCCGAGCCGGAGTCGGAGTCGGAGTCACCGAAAATCTGTCGACTCCGCAGCCCTGCTAGGTCTGCGGAGTCGGAGCCGGGAGTTGGAGTCGATCGGAGTCGACAATTCTGCCCGGAGTCGGAGCTGGTTTTTGAAAGCCGGAGTCGGAGTCGGAGTCGGAGTCGCCGAAAATCCATCGACTCCGCAGCCCTGGAGGACAAATAACAGTATGTCAGTTAGGGATATAATTCAAGACGAATGATTCAAGACGGACTGAAATAATACACATTTTGCTCACTTGGATACCAACTTCAAACTTGACGTTTATGTATAGCACCATGGAAACAATGGGCACACAGGAAAGAAACAAAAGATGAGGGTTTTTTAACTCAAGGAAGTAAAACAGCCCGAAGTGCAGACAAGCACATACTTTTGGTAATAGCTATCAACTGTCCTACTCCTCTTCTCCCTTCATCAACTACTGGACACATTTGAAGCATCATATATAGCACTAATGTCCATAACCAAAGCTTGCAAGTAGTTTTAACTTCTATGAAGCCAAGGGAAATGTGCATGTAAACTCAAAATTACACATGCATGACAAAGGAAGCTTATGTAAAGAGAATAGTTGACAAAAGCATCTCATGGTTAAAATTATTCAAAACTGCACACAGGGCAAACATAAAAAGCAGCAAGTGTACTGTTCTGTTATGCTAAGAAATAATCCAAAACAAAATACAATCTTTTCATGTTTGAACTGGTTGTTCTTCTATGCCCCTTCATCCATATCTTGATTACAGATGGGCTGTTACTGTAGGCTGATGAAGTGACACTTGATTGCCTTTGTGCGAGTTTCAGTTGCAGCCTCCTTGGTACTGCACTGGAAAGCAGATTGAATTGAATGCCTCTGAAAGATAGGAATACAGGCAGGGTTCGCTGTAGTAGTGTCAATGATAAAAGACATGACATTTTTGTCCTTTGACATACATTTGTTGAAGTACAAAAAGGTACAAAATAAATTGGTTTGTTTCAAGACACGCACACTGCACAAAGCCGCACAGACATTACACAGGCATACGAAATTGGTACACATAAAATTTGATGATTAAAAAGGTCAAAACTTGCAATAATAATTGAAGTAAAAGTTACAATCACAATCATTTGATTTAAAATGACTTGACATAAGTCACAAGATGCAATGCTCCTATTCTTTTATGCTTTCATTATCCTCCACATATCAACCAGCTTGATACCAGGCTGTGCAATAGTGTGTACATAACCCCATGTTGCCATTTTATTAGAGCAAGTGGGGTTAAAACAACAATGCTAATGTCAAACCCACATCTGCAACCCGTACTGCAGTTTCAATCACCTAACAAGCACACCTTCTGGCAGTTTGATAGGCAGAATGGTCATTACTACTTTCCCCTCATATTCAACACATATTCCCTTTATACAAATACAGTTTAGACCTGGTTATGGCAAGCACTTTCGAGAAAAGATATGATTAAAGTCCAAGACAAAGGTCGAGAGAAACAACACCAACATAAAACACCGACTATGTAGCACTAATACTGTCAAATTCATAAAAATATATACATGAGTCGATCAAAAATTCACTGTAGATTTCGAAAATGGTGTCAAATGCCACTCAAATACCCCCATTCGCATGTACGAAGCAATAAAACACTGACCTTCAATTCCGCGTGCCAGTCTCCATAGGCCACTGTGTATTAAATAACGCGTTCACTGATAGCAAAAAATGAGACCCACATATGACGCGTTTGCTACCAGCCAATCAGCGCTCGAGTTACCGAGCGCTGATTGGTGGAGAGGGCCGTCGTCAGCAGCTAATTACACGTTGTTTTCCTTGAACATGTGCGTGAGCGCTGATGCTGC